TTCCTTCCTTCCTTCCTTCCTTCCTTCCTTCCTTCCAGTAAGAAGTTCATGGTGAATAAATTGACCAACCCCAGTGCATTGGAAATGTTTTGTGGCAATATTAGAATTCAGTAGAAAATTATTAAAAGCCCACTTCTCACAGATGTGTGACGTATGTATGGCATGGAAAGAACAAAGAATGAGCTGGCTTTGTTAGCAAAGTTAAGGAAACAATGAAGACATCAAGAGAGGAGGAATGTGCATATGAACTGAAGGCATAGGGCTTCTAACAGTCAATTCCTTATTTTTCATTCTCTGCCTCCCTTTCCTCATTGGATCTTTCCCCATCCCTCAGCACATTACTGTCATGTGCTTTGGGGCTCCAGAACTAAATTCATTCAGTTTAAAATAATCACAACAGCATCCATTCTTATGCCCCAGAACTAAACAGACTACTTGTGATGCTCTATACATTTGCCAGCTCATACAAAAGAAAAGTTGGTGGCATGGAATGTGAAGGAAAATTCACATTTAGATTTATCCAAACTTAAGAATTTAAAGAATGTGTTATAAGGAAGTGGTGATCTCACATGCTGATAATATAATGCTGTCCCAGGAGATGCACTAGTTGCCAAGTAAAAGGTGTTGGTGAATTGCAGAGCTTGAAGTAACTTGGTAATGATAATGAGTTCCTTGCTATTAATTCCTTTCCCCAAAAACAAAGATGTGATCAGGCAGACATTCAACTGCTGTTTGGTGTGCTGCAGGGATAGGTTGATTCATTCTTTTTCCAGCAAACACATGATTTAATTGCTGGAACAAACCAAACTGTCACTAAAGTGTGTGTGTGTGTGCGTGTGCGTGCGTGCGTGCGTGTGTGCGTCTGCGTGCGCATGCGTGGCTGGGATTGCTCTGTTTTGGTTCATTTCAAGCATGGGTGACTGTTAGAAGCAAACCAAAGTGAGCCTTGCATCTGTCAATTTGCCTGCCACTGTCAATTTGCCATAGTATCACGAAGTGGCATAAGAAGAGAGCCACTTCAGGATATTGGCAGATTAAACACTTCCTCTCTGTCTCCTTGAAGGCATGTGGGAAGTGTTTAATTTGCAAATATTTTGAAGTGGTTCTCTTCTTAAGCCATTTCACTGTACGCCAAATTGAAGAAGTAGGGCCAAATAGGGTTGCTTGAGGGGTGCATGCCATTTGAATGTGAGGATTGCCCAAATGGCATGCCACACTTTGACCTGACCTGTTACAGCCCTATTTAGCTCAATCCAGCCTGCTCCAGTTGATGTGTGTAGGTAAGCCCTGCATTAATTGTAGCCAGAACCCTGTTGCTAATTAACACTTGTATAAATTTGCATGTGGGTACTCACCCAGGAATACACCCAGCAGCAATTTACCACCAGAATTTAATAGGTAATAGGATTCTGGCTTATGACTATAATTGAACTGCTGCATAACTCAGTGCTGTAGCCATCTGGCTGGGAGTTCAATTCCCCACTTTGCCTCCTTGACTGGAGCTGGGCTTGATGATCCATACGCTTCCTCTAGCTCTGCAGTTCTAAGATGATGGTGATGATCATCATCATTATTAACAAGGGATAATTTCAATTCTTCTATGGTATCTTAATTACTTTTATTATGAAGGGAGTAAACTCAAGATGTACAGCATCTTACGTGGTTCAATTATTGACTCTTCATGTGCATCATCCTGCTCTGTGCTGTGCTTTGGGTAAGAAGACAAATATGGAGCCTGCTATTTTTAGCGGCTTGTATAGCTTTAGCTAATTATTCTTCTCACTGTAACTTTCTGAGTTCTGGCCACTCCCTTTAATCATACACCATTGAAGGACGTTTTCTGGTGTCTGAGATATTGTTAAAGGCCATCTGTCTCTGGATCTGTTCACACAATCATGAAAAAAGGAACATGTTCTCCCCTCTAGAAAAAAAAAGGAGGGGGACTGACCTTGGAGTTATTTTCCTCAGATATGACAGCCAGTATCCACAGGAACGTGCCGTGGGATTATGTGTTTCCCTATGGATTCTGAATTCTCTCTCTAAGATCTAGAATCCAAAAGGCTTTGCACGTCGATCTTCTTAATATAAACTGACTGCAGACTGAATATAAGGCTTCTAAAATGTCAACAAACCAGATGCTAAAGAACAGCTAAGGATGGTTGTCTCAGCAATCAGTATGTTCTCATGAACTTAGCCATAGAAGCCATTCATGTGTATGCTGCAGAATAAAAAAGGGGGGGGGTGCTGGTGATGAGTCATGCCCCTATGTGACCCCTAAAATGTCAAAATCTGGTAAGCTTTTGAGCCCACCAGAACCTTTCCTCAGATAGGGCATTGCAGAGCTTTTGTGTGTGCACGTGTGTGTGTATGTGAGCATGTATGTGTGCATCCATGCGTGCATGCAAAAGTCCAAAAAATCATTCTGACCAGATGTTTTGGTGCCAGGATCTGAGTTAATGTCCGAAGATGAAGGCTGTAAACTTTTTGACTCAGCTTGAAGTATCAGATTTCGACTTGAGGGTGTAATCAGAGAGTTATTAGATCTTGGGGACTTCTCCAAGGCACCTAAGCAAAAAATGATAGTCCTGATGACCTCCAGGATTAGAAATGGGACTTTTGGCGGGCTAGGAAGAGCTGCAAGTCTGCCTGACTGCCTTCTGGAGGCTGTATCACTTAATTATTTCTTTTAATGCTTTAAGCTAGAGGTGGACCACGTAGAGTCTCTAAATGTAGCTTCCCAGTACACTGAGCCACCCACCACACTAGACAGACAGACAGACAGACAGACAAGCAGACAGGCAGGCAGGCAGGCAGGCAGGCAGACAGACAGGGTTGTTTTGTTTTAATTAGTTTAAAAAATATCTCCCTGGGCTCTCGAAGGGGGCTGAAGCAAATTTCCCATCCTTTTTGGCCACTAGGGGGTGATTTCACTTTTAAAAAAACCTATTTTCTAAGACAAAAACTTTAGAGGTAGGGGAGTCCCAAGAGTGAGCTCCCCAAGGATGGTGATGCACAGCCCCTGCACTGTCGGAAGTTGCCCACCCCTCCTCTAAGTGCTGAGAGATTCCTTGCTGTAAACTAAATGTGAGTAACTTGGTTGCACCGAGGACAAAAGGCCAATTCTGTTTCATGCGACTCACTGACCACAAGTGAATTGAGGTGACATGCCAACCCCCCTCGACTGAAAACAAGAACGAAATCTTTGAGATGTCTGGTAGCAACTTTCTACAGAATATCAGCAACATGTTTGAGAGCCTGGGAGAACCTGGGAGCTGCAAAAAATGGTTTTGTGGCTGCATACAATCCCCAGACTATGTGCTGCTCGCTGTGCTGTAAACTGGTTTTGGGTTCATAGTCCTTTTGACATTGGTGAACACAACAATTGTATTGGTATATTGCAAGCAGAAACCAGTGGATAAGAGCAACAAAATACGTGGCTATTTTTAAAAGTATTTTTTGAATGCATGGAGGTTGTTGGGATAATGAAGCTGTGGTAAATATGTAGTAAGCAAGTGGCATAGAAAAATGAGAATTGACACATTCAGGTTTTAATTAACACAGGTGTTTATATCAGCATTTTCTTTCCAGATCCAAAGCCTGTGGATGAAATGGGGAGATTTTCCAAACCTTTTTGAAATATATATTTATACTTATATTTGAGGCAAAAATGAAATAGTTTATCAAAGCTAGTGGAAGTTGTACCAAAAATGGCCATTATTTTTGTGGTAATGCTCCTTCACAATTCTCTATCTACATATGCGTCTCCCTTCAAAGTTAAAGTGATTATTTGTTTTTCCTAGGGAGAAAAGGGAGACAGAGGAGAGCAAGGACCAGAAGGCATACCTGGAAAAGAGGTGAGTTGGTGTGTTACCTTTCCTCTGTATTTTATATTGTAGCTTTTCTTCATGTCATCGAACCTATATTGCTGCAATTTATAAAAGTAACTGTGGAAGCAGCAACTTTTAAAGTCAACTGCTGAAAAAAGCATTTCAATAAATTGCTAGAAAAGGAACAAGTATTTTATCTTGGCCTCTAATCCCTCATAGGAGACCAAATTCTGTTTAGCTTATGTGACATTCTTACTATTAACACTGAAGTGATATCCTTTCTTTCTTTCTTTCTTTCTTTCTTTCTTTCTTTCTTTCTTTCTTTCTTTCTTTCTTTCTTTCTTTCTTTCTTTCTTTCTTTCTTTCTTTCTTTCTTTCTTGCATGCCTGGATTTCCTTCCTTCCTTAGAATTATGTTACTCATTATAATTTAGAACAAGGAGATACATCCAATAGTGTCCCTTCTGCCAAATCAGACAATTGATCCTTTTAGCAACTAGAGTCTCATCCATTATTGTCTACTACACAATAGATAGCAGCAGTTCCTACTTTCCTACTGCCTCTCTGCAAGCCCTTTTAAGCACATGAGTGGAACCTGGAGCACACAAGTGAACAGTCAGATGTGCGTGTGTAGGGATTTTCTTGCATTTTAAATTTATTTAAATTTGGTTAATCTCAGTGGGCTTCATCTAGTTCTGTTCCTCACTACTGCTTCCAGTATCTAAGACTGAAAATCCTCATATCAAGGGACCTCCAGATGGCCAAACTGCTTGGCAACTGTTTCTCAGTGTTGAATGGTCAACCAAGGACAAGGGACTTGGTTTTCCAGATAATCTGGCCTCGTTCATTTTGCCAATTCAGTCCTTGCAGCAATAAAGCATACAGATACGGATAACTACATGAGGTACACAGGCCATTTACAACTGGGTGAAGTTAATGGATTTATTTAGTTTGTGAATGTATTCCATATGTTCTCTAAAGTAATTTCCTACAGAATTCTGCTAATAGTCCACAGCAATTCAGTTACCTTAAACCTCCATTCAGAAATGAGAATATTGTGATTTGTAGTTATCCTGTTTCATGCCTTCTAGATAAGCCTTTCTTTCCATTTGCTTCTCCTTTTCTTGCTCTGCCTCTTTTTGATAGAACCAAGAAGACTTCAGCTTTGACTCTTCTATGCTGGCAGACTTAATAAAGGCTATATGAAATCTAAATCAGAAGTATTGATAACATCTACCATTTCTTCCAAAGTGGATACTTAAATGCTTGTATAACTCTGGATCATGTTTCTTCCAGATGGTGACTCAATTTTCCCCCCCAGAAAGTTGTTAGGCAAATATGAATATTTTGAATACTTGCTGATTTAATGGTTCTTTGCCCAGCACAGCACAGATGTTATATGCATTTTAGTGACAAATCTGTCTTTTCTGTTACTGCACCTGAAGCAGAAATATTAGGAAAACTTTAAGGTGGGGTGGGCAGATTTAGAATAATACATTCTCATTCTCTTATGGAAAGAAACACATATTAATTATGTTTGTCACACTCAGATAAGTTGATACTATAATAAAGATGTACTGATTTATTGTGTTCCTTTATGTTCGTTTTGCCCTTTTGTTCTAAATGTTTTGTTATTAGGTCCCACCATCACCTCTGACTTATGGTGACCCTACAAGTTGGTGACCTCTGAAGGGTCATATTATCAAGTCCTAAAGGCCATGGCTCCCTCTTTTTGAGCCACTAAAATGTTCGTCATGGCAAAAAGAGGGTCTTTTGCCCTTCTAGAATGTTGCTCTGCAAAGGACTTTTAATTCAGTTTGTGGGTCTGATGTAATGATTCAGACTTGGTGCTATTCAGATGCAAATTTGGAAATGTGAATTTTCATTCTGCTCATTGCTTTGCAGTGGAAAAGTAACATGGCTATAATATTTTTGCTTTGATTTTTTCACATAAAATTTGGAGACATGGTAGTCCCTTAGAGGGGACTGAATTTACCAAGTTGCAGACAAATATGTTCAGTTTCATTTGTGCTGGACACCTTGAAATATTTTTCAAATAGCCATGTGTGCATACATGTGTGTGTTTCACAAAAATCTGTGAAATAAGGACACATAATAGCTCCTTCAAATTAAATTAACCCCAGCAAATTGTAGACCAAGATTTTTGGGTTAGCCAAGTTTAACATTGACTTCAATGTGTTAAAGGTTTTTCTACATCACTGTAGTGTAGGTAGATATGGCTGAAATTCTGTTGCTTAGTCTAAGAACTTGCTATGCTAAGTAGGTCCATTGAATCCATAGGTCCACCTTCAGAGTCACATTTGTCAAAGATGTAAGAGATATCCTTTCCAGTAACTCCTCTCAGATTGTGAAATTCTGTGCCTTGTGAGGCTGGTTTTGGCCACTGTTCTGACGTTATTTTGATGGCACATGAAAGTCTTCTTATTTAGGTGGACATTCAGCAATGAACTGATTGATAAGGATAGGGTCTTCAAAGTCACTGTGCTTTCGTATATATATAATCTGTAGTTATTGAGTGCCTTTCAAAATATTTTTACTGTATTCTCTTCTTAAAAGTGAAAAAAGCTAATTTAATAATTATACTAATCATGTAGGTTTTTAACGCTAACTTTTCAAAATCTTACTGTAATCTGTCTTGGGTCCCAGTTTTTGGGAGAAAGGTAGGCTAAAAATCAAAACAAATCAAATTAATAAATGTGTACTGTTTTGTGTGTACAATGCTTATTTAGAATACAGATGTACAGTAAAGAAAATGTAAAAACACAGAACACATTAATCTACACAAACAGATAAGAAGCACACTAATCATTTCAAACTGAAATTAAATTGATATCTAACCTAAAAAAAAAAAACTAGAGCCAGAATGAGAGAGGAGATAATAGGCTAAAGTTCCTCTTAGTTTTATTAGTGCCAAGACTACTGCAGAAATAATACTGAGGCCAATACGGAAACTCACTTAAACCAATAACAAATATCAAGTGTAAGGGGCAATGGAACTAGGTTGGGAATGGAGTAGAAAAATAGGGTGGAATGTTATTGCTAGTGAAGGGTATCAGCACACACCATACTAGTTTGAACGCACCAGATCTCGTCTGAATTTGGGAGCTAGGCAGGGTCAAACCTGATTAATACTTGGATGGGATACTATAAGTTTATAGAAGTAATCTCCTTGTATGAGGCCCAGGAAAGAATCTTGTCTGAATCCCTGAACAGCTACTGCTAATCACAATTGCCAGTGCAGAACTATTGGTCTGGTGTCACCAACATCCTCCAAGAAAGCTCCTTCAGGCAGTTTCCTCTTGCTAACAGAAAATTAGCAGGACAGCAAAAGAATATTCTTCACTGTTCCTCCTTTGAAGCACTAGGACTGGAGAGTGTTGCTGAGATTTTTGCCTTGCATTGGAAGCTGGAGTTGCCAATGAAGCCCAGCTCCCCTCACCCTCCCCTCACCCTGGCCTTCATTTAGGTCTGTTCCAAATAGGTTCAGAATTCAGCCAGATCAGTTACACAGCCTTACTATACTATAAAATAATGCCACAATAAATAACAATAACAGTAACAACAATAACAATGTGGCTAAAATCCTTTTGGTACAACTGTGACTGCAGAAGGCTGATGATGTCATATGTATGGCACAATTTTTGGAAATTAAATACTTCCTATTTCTGTGCTGTTGCTCCCCCAGTCTTTGTGTGATTCCTTTTGTTTTGTGAAAGCTATGGGAGCCATGGGATAATGGAAATTACTGAAAGTTGCCCCTATTGATGACATCAGCAGCCTTCCATGGGCTTAGCTGCACCAACAGGATTTCAGTCAGTTATTTTTAAAACCATGTCATTGTGTGTGGATTACAGTATAACGTTCACTATGCACAAATTGTCTTTCAAAATTATCCACCCTATTTCTGAGCAGAGAAACTAGGGAAAGGGGGAGGGAGAAATTCTCCCAATGGTGTCTCAGAGTTGTGGCTCCCCACTATCTGTGATTTAATGGTTGTTCTGGGCTTTTCGGGCTCTTTGGCCGTGTTCTGAAGGTTGTTCTTCCTAACATTGTGCCAGTCTCTGTGGCCGGCATCTTCAGAGGACAGCACTCTGTGCTCTGTGGTTTGTTTTCATACTACCACTACAAGTGGATATAGTAGCAATTGGACTGGGCAGTTGAGCCGTTATTTCTCTTCCAATACCATGCCTTCTTCCTAATATTTTTGTGAAGCATTATAATTATTGTGGCAGGGAGCCAGTTACTACTACTACTACTACTACTACTACTACTACTACTGCTACTACTACTACTACTACACAGAAATTTTAGGAAACTCTGCAAAATGGCCTTCTATTTTTTAGGTCAACCTGGCTTGTTAAACAAAACAAAAAAAGGCCCAAAATTACACAAGTAAGAAAGGCTAAATCAGTTTTTTCCTTACTGGGAAAAAATTATATCCAGTAATATGGACAACCTGCTACAGCCCTTGTCTCATGCTTTGCTGCCCTGGTTGCAGTTTCAAAGATGTGCAAGGCTTTATTTCTATACTGTCTATATAAAATGTGCTGCTGAATTAATGGTGTGTTTCTTGACTATATCTCTGTTTCACAGGGTTTAAAAGGTGATGCTGGTGATAACGGGATGCCTGGTCCAAAAGGAGAAAAGGTATTTGTTGTGTGGATATGTGTATTCACTTCTGGCTGGACGGCACAGTACGATGAGGTCAGGAGTTCAATTCCCCACTGCGGCTGCTGGGAGAAGAGCCGGCCTGCATGGCCTTGGGCAAGTTACATAGAGAGCCCCTAAAAGAAGGGAATTTTAGGCACTTCTGAGTACTCTCAGTACTTTAGAAAATCCTGTAAACTGTTTACATAAGCTGGAGTCATTTTGAGAGCATGTACGTAATTATTATTGCTACATATATTCTATGGCAAACCGTTTATATAAACTGGAATCAAACTGACAGCATATAATTATTGTTATGTATATTCAAGTAGCTAAATCTTGAGGGAATGATAGAAAATATTGTTTGTTTAAAGAGGGATACACTCAAAATCCATAAATGTAGCATTCGCATACTGTAATCGGCTTCTTCTGGTCCTGGATGCAATCATTCCTATACCATTACTTATTGTTTATTTGTTGTGTAGTCCACAAACCATCTTCCCTTTGGGAGTGGAACAATTGTGGAAGATCACATTTCTACTACTCAAAGGCCAAATGCTTTTAAGTTTTTATACCAGCTTAAAGCCACTGGCATAAATATCAACAGCAAACTGCTTCATTTTTAGAAATTAGCATAGAAATTTGCTGTCAATTTCTGATTTTTGCAATTTGGAATCAAACAGCAAATGCCTATATAACGTCTTAACTTGTCGCAATTTGCAACCAAGATTTACATTAATAGTGCTACAGTGGTAGGTAAAACTAACTGCCCAATGTACAATTTATATTTCCCACCTCTGTGGGACAAACAGAAGGCAAACAAAAAGGAAGCCAAAAAAAAATGGGTTCCTTTGCCTTATACATGTATCCACCTCCAGTCATACCCTCTCCAATGAATGATCTGGGGGGGAAATTCATACCGTTCGTGTGGATTACTGCTAGGAACAGTTTAGTACTAAGAGTAAAACAGTTTTTTAAAAATTAAGTAAATACAGATTTTACACTGATGTTGTTTGCAGCCACGTTGGCCTGTTAGCTATGATCCAGTTGAATCTCGACTGAAACTGAATGTGTCCTGGACTGCTGTACATTTGTTTTCATATCCAGTCTCTGGGAAGCCAATTATGTTCTTGATTTTTGTCAAGCTAGCTACATATCTCAAAACCTATTATCTTAGAATATAGGAACACTACTTTGAAAAGTGAGAGAGAGTATAATATAGTATGGTGGATAGGACATAGGATAGGAAAACTGGTTTCTTTTCACTGGGTAACCTTGGACTAGTCACCATTTCTAATTTTATCCTATTGTTTTGGATATTTGAGGGTACTTTGGTGGAGGACCAGTATGTTGGTGAGGAATCAATATTGAGCCCTCAGAAGGTTGGAGAGAAAGGCACTTAAAAAAGAAAGAAAAGTAAAGTAATAGAATTCAGTTTTTTAAATACTTGCTCACAATGCTTAGAGACTGACATAAAAAATTCATTGATTTTTAATTTCTTCCTAATTTTATAGGGTGATATGGGGCCTCCAGGACCAGCTGCTCTTAGTGTAAGTACACTAGTCAGGAGGAATGCTTTTATGGGTGTTTCTGTGTTCATTTGCAGATTCTTTAATGCTACAATTGTAGGTAGATCATCAGTGTGCAGCACTTAGAGTGTTGGGCTGTGACACAGGAGACTTGGATTCAAATCCTCACTTGACCATGAAATTCAGCAAGTGACTTTGAACCAATCAGAGTTTCACAGCCTGATCTGTCTTACAGGGGAGGAATAACAGCATGGAGCTCATTGGTGGGATATCAATGCAATAAACAAAAAAAAAGCAGTTAAATGAATGTGAACTGCTACAGCATATACAGCCAGCTATGTGTAACATATGACATAGTAAGATGAAAACCTGCTGTGTTTAGTAACTCAGTTCTGTTCTGTTCATTTCCACATCCAGATCTCTTAAATGTGCTTTAGCTGCCATCTCATTACAAGGTCATCATGAAAACATGTAGACGAACTGTGTCTGGAGAAAATGCCTGATTGTATTACCCATCTTATGTGGTGATAATTTCAGTGGGACATGTCATATGGCCTTCTTCCCAGCTGAAATGTATACAGTACGCCACTTCCTCTTGGGGGAGGCTGAGATTTGTAATCCCCGTGGCATGGAGAAGGGAGACTTCAGATAGCTAGAGCATCTGCTTTGTCTTTCTTATCTCTCCCCCTTACCCTGGCCACACGTAAATATCTGGAGAACAGATAAAGTAGTGGGAGGGGGAAGGAGCACAGACAGGCACTTGAGACTGGAGTCAAGCAGGCACTGCTCAACTTAAACATATTTTCCTGGACTCTATCAGGTTTCTCTCAACATCCCTAAATAAGATTTAGTTTGTTCACCCACACCCGTATCCAATCCAAAACTTCCCCCAAACACTCCTGTAGGACTTCTGCTGCCTTCCTAAGATCAGATCATATGAATGAGAGGTCGTCTAGGTATCATCTGTGTCCTGATGAGGCAGATGGCCATTGCCAGTATATTTAGAGCACTTGAAGAGAGGCAAATAACTTTTGTGCCGGGTCAGTTGTACTTTGCAAGCTAAGTGAGCCTATTTCACCCATCACTAATAATTAGAGAAAACAAATATACAGGAGGTGCAAGTAGCCTTTTGTGTGTGTATGTGTTTCTTTTTCATCATGCTTTCTGCACAAGGCTTAAAAGTCTTCCATCTAAATCTTTTCTATGTTTCTACTGGCAGTGTACTGCCAGAACATGTAACATGACTGGTAAACAAAACAAAAATAGCCAGGAATTCTGGTTTAAACCCACAATATATTTAAATGGTTTTTAAAAAAATATTACTGGCACTTGGGGTGTTGAGTAGTTATTGCAAAATACATTTCAATGTCATTTAATTTCAAGAGAAGGGGTTTAAAATTGGTATGAAAATGTGTGGGTTAATAAATGACTATTTTTATATTGTGTTTTATTCTTAAGAAGTGTCAGCTGGACACTTTAATCCATTTAATTCTTAATCCCTTTGCATGAGGTAGATTATTTCCCCAATATCAATGCTATTTAATTGCCTAAGGACAGCACATGTATTACTTTCAAGTCCTGATATCCTTAATGAGTGAGTATTGCTAGAGCCATCCAGTGACTGAGCAGCAAGGATGACAGGATTATCTTCATAGTTTTGTCAAGGTGCTGAATTAAGGAGAAAAAAGTTGGGGACTTTTCTCCGAAATGACACAGTTCGCTAATCTCCTCTCTCCTCTTTGGCATCCAGAGCTTAAGCCTGTGCATGTCATGTCACACGAGTGACAGGTGAAAGAAGGTGGCACAGTGATCTCTCTTGTAAAGTATATGAAAACTATTCCTCTTGACACTTGATCCACAGCTTTTAGTTCCTCAGGAAAATGAGTGTCCGTCTCTACGTTCCTGCGGAGCCTATCCCTTTGGGGAGTTATAGAATACTCATCCAGATGGCACCAAATGTTTACACAGAAGCCAAGGGTTAAGTCAGTCGCAAGCAGAGGCACCTACGATTTGCTTACTAAACAGATGCTTGGAATGCTGGTTCCCTAGTCCTTGAGGCCTGGTCAAATGAAATGACCCATAACATGTTGGGCACAAAGCAAACAAAGAGAGGAAGCTGGCTACTCAGGCCGAGGCATGCTCTTCAATCTCCTTCACATACAAACTCAAGTAAACAAGTGACATACCAGTTAACACACAATGCTGCTGTCATGCTGCAGATGGTGAACTACAGTTATAAACAGAGATGACTGTTACATTCCATCTGTATTAAGATGAGGGCTGGGATACTGTCTGCTCATAGCAGAAGCATCCCCTGAGCAGAGTTCCACCCTCAGGATTTATCCCCTTGAAGGAAAAGGGCAGGGGAGTACTTAGGATCTAACCCAATGTACTTTGGGGGAAAATGTATGGGTTACGTATATGATGTCAAGGTGCATCTGACTTGTGAAATAAAGGGAAGTTGTGTGGTCCAAACTTGTGGTACCCCTGATACAGGTTTTGAAGCATGTGAGGTATTAAAGGAGTGGTTTTACTAGTGCAACCACCCAGGGAGTTTCCATGGCCTAGTAGGGATTTGAACCCAGGTCTCCTGAGTCCTAGTCCATCACTCTATCTACTGTCACTACAGACCATTAATTGTTTCCTGTACAAGCTGTTTGCTGTTGTAACAGGATACTTGTGATATAATAGAACATACAATGTTTTCTTTAAAAAAGATACTTAGGAGATTCAGTTGGCTAGTTCTTAGGTTAAAGATTGGAATATTATTTACAGTTTTTGGGAGTTGACTTCTTAAATTAATGTTTTATGTCAGTCCTTAAAGAGAAGGTAGAATGTGGACCTCACCCAATGTAATATTCCATATAAAAAGAAAAATATATAGTGGGATTATTTCACTGTCCACGATTTTGCATAATCTGATTGCTCTACCACTTCCACCTAGAAGATACTTTGCAGAGTTTGCCATCTTTCTTTCTTTGATATATTTTTTGGAAAGGAAGAAACACAGGAAAAGATGGGAAGGCTGCAAGCAGAGAATGGTGATCCCTGGATCTCCAGAAGATTCCAGGAGACAGGGCGATTGCACTGTAAAAGTCTGCTATGGACGCGGCCTTCTCAGCTTCCAACAGGACTTAATGGAAAAGAAAATTATATTGTTGGTTTTCTTTAAAACATATATAAACTGAGAAAAACCTAGATTAGAAATAAATTATTTTCTATAATGCTAGTTGAGTTCATTCACAGCCAGTTTCATTAAAATAATCACAGGTTAATATTTAACCTTCTCAATAGTGCAGTACTATTGGATTTCTAATCTTGTCTAATTTTATTTGCATGTACTGGGTGTATGCTGCCAAGGTAAACCTGTGTAAAGAATTCAAATATATTGCTGTCATTTTAGGCTATTTTTATCTCCTCTGTGCAGTAATGCAAGAAAGCTGAAAAGATTTATGTTTTTGACACCGAAGAAGATTTATGCTTTACTTTCACTTTTTTTAAATAAAAAAATCTGCAGCTTTATCCAATTGACACAAAATGATATATGCCCGTTTTTAATTACAAAAAAGATCTGCAAATAATTCCCTGTACACTTTCATAACTAATGCACTAAAATAGCATTTGAAATGTCACCACTACCGCACTAGAGCTTAAATGACGACGCTAAATTTGTTTTGTATGCTGAGTTCTCGTCTCTTAGTTGCTTATTCCTTGAAAAACTATGAAAGAATGTCCCTCTTGACAATAAAATAGATGCCAAATACCATTGCAACCAACAAATGTAAGATTTAAGCACATGGGGGGGTGGACAAGTACATATCTGAAACTATAACTTTAATTTGACCTTCATTACGAATATTTCTTTTTCCATTGTTCAAGAGCTGCCTGCTCCCATGCCTTTTCTTCCAATATCACCCCAAGTCTTCTGTCACAAAGCATGGGGCTCTTTTTTGGTAGTGTCTGATGTGTCACAATGCCCTTGTTTACATATGCAGAAGACTGAGGTAGTAAAGTTCTGGGGTAGAGGTGAAAAACACAGCATTCAGATGCAGCAAAAATACCTTACCAGTGGAAAACGAGTACAGTAGGGATTGTGCCTTTCTCCTTAATATGCTTTATTTTATTTCATTTTGTTTTATTGTTTTATTCTTCTTCCCCTGAAGGAAATTTATTTTTATATTTCTAACCTTTCAGAAAGGGTCTTCCCTTCATTTGAAATGAAGAACTACAATTTATTATGTCAATTTATTAGCTCTAGAATGAACAGCTCTTATTAGTGATCGATCCAGACATGGAGGACGTATTTCCAATGACATGCTACTTTTTTAAGCCTTGAAAATGTTTTGTTCTCTTTATTGATTAAACGCCGGGGGCTTCTTTCATAGCTTGCATATAGAACTGGTGTGTCCAAGAGAACCCACATCCTACCTCCTGTTCTAACATAAAGCTTTTTTAATTGCCCACCTGTCTGGCTTGCCTACTGATCTGAATGCAGCCAAAAGCTAGCAATTCTCCTCTCTTCCTTGGATCCCACAGTATTGGATAATTACCAAATCAATCTCTAACGTTCTGTTCTTGGACAAGGTGTTGGGGTGAGTTGTGGCTCCTCAGATCCAGGGGGTCCTGGATGAGAAGGATGATCTAGATCCATTTAAATCTGGTTTGGGGCCTATTTATGTGGCAGACGGTGGTTTTGTTTCTTTGGTGAATGACCTACACTGCTAACTGGACAGAGCGCGTTTGTCCCTGTTGGTTCTGCTGGACCTCTCAGCAGCTTTTAATACCATCAATCATGATATCCTTCTAATTCATCTCTCTGGTGCGACTTTGAGCCACTGTTTTATGATGGCTCCATATTCTTCTTAAGCATATCCATACAGCTGAACTTAATTTTATTTCTGCTCTGAAACAAGGGAGCATATCCACTGGAGCCACACCATTAAATGCCTCATTCCATTACAATGAGATGCACTGGAAGACCAAAAAAAATTCTCAAAGCAATTTTCAGCAGATTAGCTGTTAGTTGTACATGAACATCCACTTCAGGTATCCCTTGTGTAATTAAATTACATACAATATGAATATGTGTTTTGCTTGCCCCTTTAGTACTACAGTACAATGAAGTCTAAGCAGTGCTTAATGATGCACTTCATCTTTTTAAACTGTTTCTGTTGACAGGGCATGCCAGGAACAGAAGGGCCTCAAGGCCCACCTGGGAAAGAAGGCCAGAGGGTGAGTAAGGACTTGAGCAATGGGTGTCTGCTGGCTTACCTCAACACACATTTACTGGGCGCAAAGACGCTTGCCCCACTGCAGATGAACAAGAAGTCAGCATTTATTGTTGTGGGCTTGGTAATGCTGGAAGAGACTAAAGTAGCCTCTGTCTCTTTAAGTTTTGATTTGTGTATTTTCCTATGTTGTGTAATATGTTGGTTGCTTCCAATGAGACTTTTCCCACATGCCAATGAGAGTGTATGCAAATGCCTCTAATTTATGTCTCCTTGTTGACAGGGTTATTTCCTATGCAGTTCTCCATTTGGTGCTGTTCTTAATCATCACTGTGTGGCTAAATTACATAAATGTACTGCTACAACAGAGGTTCTGAATTGTATGTTCAGTAGTAGTCCAGCCATTTAAATGGTAACCTAGTCACACTGTAGTCAGTAGGATATGGATCAAGCTTACTTTACTTTACTTTACTTTACTTTACCTTTCTCTTTCTTTCTTTCTTTCTTTCTTTCTTTTTCTTTGGTCAATCCATTGTTGTCCATAAATGAATAATCTGTGATTCCCACAAGTCCCAGACAGCCTGACCCATGGTACGGGTTGGTAAGGGAATGGGGTTTAGAAAGTTCTGGAAGACCACAGTTCCCCTCACCCTTCCCCAAGACATATTCTCCAATAGAAGGATGGGAAGGGATGAATGATATGCTCTCACACATAGGAATAGATTTTTAAACCTCCATGCCTTGCCCTTTCAATACTTTACAGGTATTCAGTTTGATACCTTAAATTTAAAGAGCAGCATGTTTAAACCTAGTTAGTTCAATACGAACTCAATTCAAAATGTGGCCTTGGTTAAGAATCAGCTGTCAATCAGAAATTGGAAGGAAACTATTGCCTATTCTTTCCAGAGTGCCTGTAATATGAGGAAACGACGATAATAAATCAACTGCCAAAAAAAAAATGATTGGACGAAGAGCTTTAGCTCTTTATGAACCCCCCCCCTTTTCCCGTATCTACATTACCTGTTAATATTTTTATTTTTGGCTTCTAGTCTAATTACCATTAAATCAGTTTTGGTGCTGAACAAGAATATTATCTCACCTCTTTCAATTTTTTTGTCATGCCATTTCCAGTAATTAATTTCTGCCTTCCTATTTACAGCTAATTTCAAGAAAATGAACATGAAAACCCATTTAGGGGACTAATGAAATAACTCCTCCTTTGCATTTTTAGTGAGAACTAAAACAGATGAAAGGGCACTTCTTTTTATTTGAAGTCCAAGCCATGTGGATGTGTTACTGCATGGACCTTCAAGCCACATTACAGCTGTTCAGATTCATTTAGATACAGTTGAAATGAGGCTCAGAATGTACGAGCCCAAATCAACCAGAAATGCTTTAAATATTTTTACAAGTGTTAATGCTGCCGGAAGACATGGGATTTTACTGAATCCTTTTAATAGGACCCTGTTAATGGTTCAATGTCTAGTTACTTGGAAAAGCAAGTGAATCAATTATTACTTATCTGAATTCAGTGGTAGCTTTACTTTGAAAGACGGTGCATAGACATAGCACAATGTTCCTGTTGATCCTTCTGCCCATTTATGAACACACCCACATACAGACTGAGCATGCGCAGTAGCCACAGAATGCTGTATGACTTGGGGTACAGAATAGGAGACCATGTGGAATAGGAGGATTAGAACAGAGAGTCCTGGAAACAAGAATAGCTGATAGGTCTGTATGGCTAGCCCTATTCACCCCCTTTGTGAGTGGAGCTCACATGTGGTAAAGGGGTGCGCTAGCCTTGCCCCCTGTTTTTACTTTAATCATGGAAACCAAACAATCTGAAGAGGGGAGGCTGCTGTATCTGAACAGCCTCTCCACATAAGCCAGAATGAGGGGGGAAAGGGAGGGAGGGCCCAGCTCATCCTGAGAGGTCACCCAGATACATCAACCTTCCCTCCTTCAGACTATTTTGTTTCCATGGTTATAGAAATGGGGGGTGGGTGGAATGTTCATTGTGTGTGGCTTTTACCTACAAACCAGGCAACTGAATAGGGCTACCAAAGAGAGCCACTCCACATTCCAGATTTCATTTGTGTCTTCTAGGAGATGTTACTCCATCACAGGGAGTGGGATTCCAGTAGAAATACTGTCTGTTTGTAATGTGCCTTACAAGTCTGCAACAAGCAGAGTGTCTTATCATGTTTTTATTCCCCTCCATGCTCATCCTGTTTGAAGTTGCTATGCAGCAGGATGATTCTTGTAACTAAGGCAAAAAATTAGCATAGTAACCCTCCGTGCATCGACCACCTGAGGAAAAAGGATTGTCTGTTCCTCTTCAACGGTGCTAAAGATCTACCAACCAAAAACAGCCACTTACTCTGCCTAATGAGATAAGGGAAAGAGTAATGAAAATGAGCGTCATAATTATGTGACCTTGGTTGCAACTACATGCTCCAGACGTTGTGAAGGGAGAATATGGTTACTGCAAATGACATGAGCCATGACTCAGTTTTCAAAAGTGTACCTCAGTGCCATTTTTGAACCACCACTTCTGTCACTGGCCGGCTGGTCCTGGGAGATTTCCTTGCTATCTCAGGCCTGGCTGGAGGGCAATATGTTCTGGCCGGCTGAAGGGCAGCCCCATCAGCTCCATTTTCACCACATGTCAAGCAGGTGAGCTGCTGCCCCAACCCTGACATTGTCAGTGGCAGCCGAAGCCTCCCAGCACTGGCTGGCCAGCAGTCGTTTGATGTCGTGCTTTGACGTGAGGAATTAATTGTATTAAAGGAATCACATTAAAGCAGGGCATGTGAAACAGGTGGTTTCATCCCTCTTTTCAGGTAACACACAGTAAAAAGTTTACTGCAGGTGATGTGAAGCATATAGTTCCTGCCCTTATGTGCAAGAGAGGAAGAGGAGGCACCTATTCTTTTTTCCACATGAATTCTTCTAATTCTCCATAATCTTTGTATCCAAACAAAGGTGAGGTTGGGAACTGTGGATCTCTCCCCAGCCCACTTCTCCTTCTTCTGCTGATGGTTTTAAGATTGGTCTAGAAAATAGCTAATAATGTGGAAAAAATAGTACAATTGTCCTACTTCTGAAAGCATGAATGAGTAATTCTCTACACATCACCGTAAAATTCCCATTGCAAAGGGAACCAGAGTCCTCCATAGGCATTTTTCTGGAAATGGCTCAAATGGGAAAAAGACGTGGGTGTAGTAAGTGTTCCATCGTCACGTCCCTATTTGTTTGACTGCTGCAAGAGCTCTTTACATCCTGGATGTGATGGCATGAAAGGGGTTTGTATACCCACATGCCTAAACTTGTTTAGAAAACTCCCTATACTGGGGAAATCAACTCTATCACCATTCTGGATTATGGGCAGATTGAAACAGTATTCAGTTATATAGACTTAACCAAATCCTTTCCCAGTTTTTGAGGTAAATGTATATGTGTATGGTACCCTGACAGCAGGTACATACAGATGGGACACTAGGGTAAGGTTTGTACCCGTTTGCATCCCCACCCCCAATTAGCACTCGACGTGTTGCAGGCAAACATCTCCACAAGCAAATTTCCACTGAGCCAACAGGATGTTCTCTTTCGTGCCCAGTGGGGACCAAAGAATAGCCTGGGATAGAGTCAGTCTTGGATGTTCCTCCCTAAAGAACGTGTCTTGCCAAGTGGGGCAGCTTCAGCTGTTCCTGTCACAGAGATATAATACAACTGTCTGTGCCAGGAATGGAGAGGAAGATATACAAATGGGCTGTTGAGTCTAATACAGTGGCAAGGCAAGACGTGAGAGGAATCGTGTAATGAATCAAAAGGATGCTGTCAACTATGACATCTAAAATACATGTTAGTGATTAGAGATAGGCAAATCTGTGCAAGGCTCTTCTCCAATTGGTTTGGAATATTCCCAAACCTCTACTATCTCCACTACAACTATCATTTAGACCACCACCCCTTTTGCACTCTTCTCCTTATGATACTAAGATCTGTGCTTCTTACGTTTTGTATGCAGTCAAAGTGGCAAAAAAAGACAGGGATTATGGCCATAGATTATGGGGGTTTTTTAGTCCAGTTTCATCTAGGTCCTCCAGTCTGGAAGCAACTACTTAGACTGCAACAAGTCAGGTGCTCCTTAGCCCAACCACAAATGGCCTCAAGGACACCTTCCTCCCCCAAATCTCTGCTCTCTTCTCATTTAAAGATAATTTGAATAAATGAGAGGCAAATATTTTCAGATAATTTGGAGGGAAACAGTGGCATGGAGAGGATGAGTGTACCAAAAACTGTGTACCGTCCCAGAAATAGCTTAATTTTGGCTTGTCAGGAAAATATTTTTTTTAAAAAAATGAAGAAGACAAAAATGTTGTGGCACCTTCAAGACTAAGTGCTGCATTTTAATGTGAGCTTTTATGGAGAAGTCCACTTCTTCTGACCGAAACAACATTTTACAGAAAAACCAAATTGAATCTGCAGTGACTTCTGTCTTAGCACATGAGGCCAAGTCAAACAATGTTTCAAAATGAGGCTTGATTTCTTTCTTTTCAGCTCTAGTTTTAACACCACAGTTTTGGGTGGTACAGGACTACCTTTTTTGGGGGGGGGGTTGCTGCTAGATGTGTGCCTGCCCCTTCCTCACGGCCCTCATTCACCACTTTCTCAACTGCTGTAGTAGGTTGGAACTTTTTTTTCCTTTGTGCTACCATGCTCATATATAATATTAATAATTGCATGCTGTCAAGTCAATTCTGAATCATGGCAACCCTTTTCAGGGTTCTCTAGGTAGAGAATACTCAGAAGTAGTTTGCTATTCTGTTCTTCTAGGGATGCCCTCAGATTGTGCAGCTTACCCAATGCCACACAGGCTAACTCTACTTGCAGGAGGCACAGCGGGGAATTGAACCCAACCTATGACTCCATAGCAAAATACCTAAACCATTGGGCTATCCATCAAGACTCACATGCAGAGGGCCAATTCTCCTTTTT